TAAATGTTTAGTATATCACAATTACTTATAATTACTTATACATATATATATATATAATTAGTATTAAATATAAAATACCAATATTAATAAAAATAAATAAAAATATCATTATTTCTTTTTAATCTTCTGCACGTGATTAATATTGCCACAAATTAAATAAAAAAAGAATTTTCATATAATGACATCAAGGAATGTATATCGTGTATTTATGTAATCGCTCGCTGATCGATATCTTCAATAAATGCAGTTTAACACAATCGATGGCGCATCGACAATAGTCGAATCTACATCGTACATGCGTGTTACGAAGATATTCAATTATAATATGTCGATAGTGTTACGCGAGCGGCAACATATTCTATATTCTCGGATATATCCTATTTTAGTCCGACGGATTTGTGTTCAGTGCCGCTTATATCACGACTAACGACATCGTTCAACTTTGGTTTATTTTATTTATAAAAAAAAGAAATAATTCTCTCTTGTCGCAGGCGATTTCGCCGCGTCCCGGTTAAAATACGTGTCGGTGCACTTTTTGATTATTTCTCAGATTTGTGATTGTGGTCGAGTTGAATAACGACGACAGTAATTCGAAAAAAAGACAAAAAAAGAATGGGAAAGAAAAGATAAGTACGGCACGGGATAATTTATCGCGTAATTCCTATCGCACAGAAAACGGGAACGCCGCCGGTGCGGCGACGATGATGATGTACATGAGAATAAAACGTTAAGGGTCGGCGGCACATACGTCATACAATTTGGATTATGATGTCCGAGGCAGCTAAAATAAAAAGAAGAAGAAGAAAATAATTTCTTTGCAAGTCTTGCAAGATACATAAGCAGGTACAATTCCATTATGAATTCAATACTAAAACTAGACGCGAATAAATATACGTTATAATAGGTATCGATATTGCTGTAATACAATCTACTTGCGGTATTTAGTTTACAGTTTAACACAATACAATATGATGAAAGTTCATAACGCTTTGTTACAACAATTAAAAGACACAATTAAAAAAAATTTTCCACAAAATTAATTGCAATGTTCCAAATCATAAAATTTTCTAACATTAAGTATGAAATAATATTAATTTCGTATAATAACTGATTGTAATAACTGATTCGTGTAATAACTGATTGTAAAGAAATAAAAATATGTTCAATAATAAAATTGGAAACAAGACTGTTTATGTGATACATCTCGTACTTAAATACGGGATGCCACTTTACGATAAAGTTAGATTATAGTTAATGTTACTTTCTAAATCTGAATTAGTGGATAATCACTGATATCAACGTCATATATGTCACTGGTAATCAGTAAATTAAATATGAGATCCCTAACCTAGCTAATCTTTTTTATATAATCTAACTAATCTTGTTTTAATGCTTAAATTCAATGAATACGGTATTAGAAGATAGAAATTAACGTGCAAATTGCATGTCAGTATTTTATATAATGCTCAAATATTCTTCCTTTTTAGTTGAACTTCATTGATTATTAGTGCTACGTATGCCACTGAATTAGTGACTATCCACTGATTCAGAGTAAATTAACACATATTCTTCAAAAATAAATTTATCTCAGAAATATAATTCATCACTATATGGACTTTTAACACATTCTATCCGAAATATTAATAATCCTCTCCCAAATTTAATGACCTATATCTTAAAAATGTTTTGTTTTTCTTTTTTTTTTTCATTATGTTCTTTTCTGCAAGCAACTAAAATGACAATTTTTTAATTATGTTGTAGCAAATGTAAATGATATCTTCAAAACTTTCTCAACTTATAAAGACATTTATCAAAAGTTATTATCGAGTGAGTGAACGGCGAATGCGATAATTGATCAAGCATTCTTCTCGACTTTTCACTTTTGGTGCCTTAAATTTAAGTATACTAAACATCGTTGACCCTTTAAATACAATGCGTACGCACACGAGCATCGGGAACACCTTTATCACGGTAGTTCACCGACCGCACGAATCTTTCCACGGGGGTCGTGATAACGGCGGTGACGCCTCATTCCCCTGGGAATACCAGCGTGAACCTCCGTTACGAGAGTTTATATATTTCGGCAGTGAGAAATATTAACAATGTCCCCGAGTATTATCACTTCTGTGCGCGGCTGGGAAAAAGTGTTCGAGATTTCTTCTGGCTTTCCGATTCGCATTACCATTTCAAGTCACGCGCTTAAACAGAGATTCGGCGACGTAAGTTAGAACTCCTCTATCGAAACCACTGCAAATTGCCTCTTTAAAAAAAAAAAAGTACAATCGGAGTGCGAGCTCGCATGTTTCGCGCGTACCGCGTTCCTATTGCTGCATACTGTAACGTTATCAGAGACGCATGCGATGCAGCCGGTCATTAGAATACCGTAGAGCGGGAGACACGGGTATACGGGCGGGCTACGCACGTACAGCACACAGTTTCAATATTTGAATGCCCGTGGGCCACGAATGCCAGAAAAGAGCCGTACCGTGGCTAATGACATTACGACTTTAGGATGCTCTCGGGCAAATTACATTTACCAGGCAGGCGGGCGAACAGCCAACCTACGCTGCCTGGGTAACGGCGGCAGCAAACGGTATAACGATATGATTCGTTGATATCGAGTGAAATTGCGGTGGAGCGTGTAGACGCGTTTAATAATTAAAGTACGCGGCGCGCTAAGTGGATCGATAATTTAATGCTCCACATCACGGGTCCTTCTCACAATGTTACTTCACTTTTTGATGACTTACGGTCTTGTAAAGATATATAGGTTTCGTTTTAACAAAATTAGAATGCGCTCTATTATGAATCCCGGTGGGGATTTACTGCTAACTGCAATAAAATTTATCGAGAGGTAAAGAATTTTTTTTTTAGAGAGATGTTTCAGTAGCGCGATTCTTCGTAATTACATCTTGGTTGTTCTAAAATATTTCAGTTCGAGTTCTCTTGACAAAGAAAGTGGATCTGCACGTTTCCAAAGAATTTTCTCGCTTTATTTATAAGCGTCGTATCACGTCCCACGATCTGTTTTTAGTTGCCGCGAGCTCGAATTAAGAGACGCCACGTGTACATCGAATGAAACTCTTGTGACGCACCTGCGACAAATTGCTGGTGTTGCTCTACACCCAAAATAATTCCAATTGCAATGTAGTTGATCCAAGAGTTACGAGATCAATGTTTATGCGCTTTTCTCTCGTTCGTGATCTAAAAATCCATGATTTCAACACGGTCGTATCGGAACGACAAAAAAATGAGAGAATGCATAAAGATACATTTAAGGAATGGAACAAAATGCAACAAGAAATTAAGCTTTAAATCACTCTAATTGCTTGAACATTTTGACAGTCAGTTTGAAGCTTTAAAGCCGTTCATTAACATATAAGACGGGTTCATTAAGAGCAGAGAAGCGTGGTTTGGAAATCTTTATCAGATCATGAATGCAGCTGAGGTCACGCCTTGAGTTAGCCCTAAGTTTAATCAAGTATTACTAATAATAATCTGATATGACGATTGTTTATCGCAATTTATTAGCATTTTAATTCATATAGCGAAGTTGGTTTTTCTTCTTGTTTATCCATTTATTATTAAAATGATTTATTTTAGCGAGAAGAGCATTATATAAAACTAAATTTATATATAATTACGAATATTTTTTATTTATGTTTATGTGCTTGTATAATTAAAACCGTGTTTATAATTTTTTTCGAAAAAAATCATCTTTAGAATTAAACCGAATAATTCACGATTTAACAATTTAAAAAATTAACTTGCAGTATAATCCATGCTTATCAAGAT